ACCGTGCGTTTTTTAAGGCACTTTCTCCCATGCACAACCACTCTTTGGAATCAAACCTCCAGCAGCAGTATGGCGGTAGTCACTTACCATCAGGTGAGCCGCATGCTCGTTTTGCCCCCTGTGTTGTAAAAAAAAAATTTCACTATTAGAATTGTATAAAAAACGACCTAGCTAGTATAAATGTATCAGCTTTAGTTGTGACCTGTAACGCCCACAAGGGCCATAACGTATATTCTTTACAACATTTAATGATTTATATTCCAACTATACTTTACAAGGGCACCTCTAATGTGAGTTGTTTGGAGACTTCAGCATTATTGTGCTCGTAATATTTTTAGGGTTCTGCACTCAAAAAGTTACAAAGAAACTGTTATGGCACGACTTAGTTCACCCGTCCGTCTATCACATCGTATCTATCGCTCTGAATTTTTTTATTATTCAAAACAATATTAACTTGAAGATATAGAGAATTTACAAACAATATTTTCAATTAATTAAAATAAAACAAACTCATTATTAGCAGGGGGAAAGGGATTATTAGTAATGGAGACTTAAAATCCCATTGCTAGCAATATACCCAACCAGGTCGACCTCTTCGCGGTTCTCTCTGGAAACTATCATGGTTAATGATGAATTCATCATGATAGGCTAACTGGCCTGTTTTCATTCTCATCTATCACCCTTCACTGGTACTTCGCCAGCGTATCCTGTTGACGCAGGCGGGGTTATCATACCATTTTCACCCATAAAAATAAACTCATTATTAGCAAGTTTATTTTATTTCCACAAATTATAGCCTGTATACAGATTATTTACTTTTACACATAAATATAAGTATTATAGTTTAAATTAAATAATAATAATTAATTAATTTAATTTATTTTTATAAGTATTCAATAATGTTGCCTTAATATTTAAATCCGTGTGGTCCTGGCATAGAATAGGCCACCCGTTCCTATCCTGTACGTGTCGTAAGAGGCGACTAAGGAAGTGCGAGGGATGAGCAGCAGCGTCCTTCTTAAAACCTCTCTAAAGCCTAACTACGGTTGCCTATAGGCTTGCCAAGCGTGGCAGTCACTGGCAAAACTCCCCAAGGGGGAGGTTTATGTTCGTATTATTCAGATATCTGTTAATATTTAAATATAAGGTTTCTTGTTGATGAATAAATAATAATAATAAATAAATTTATATTTTACTCTTTGTTACAATATAGTTTGAAGTCTCTAATTCCCAAGGTAGGCATGAAAAAACCTCTGTTTCAGAAGTCAATGTTGCTTATATTACTGTATGCACTTATATGTGGCTTTGAAACGTGTCTTTGTACAAAAGTCGATTGCTTGGGTACCTCTGTCCCATTCGTGTTTCAACCGTGAAGCAATTGTGTTTGCATGGCTGTGTTTCGGTTTGAAGGGTGGGATATGGCGTGAATTTACTGGGTACAGAGGAATAACACCTGAGTCCTCGGTGTATTGTACATTTAATAAAAAAATAGAGCCTTATCATGCTAAAAGACTTGCATATTTCTAAAACCTTCTTTTTATGTCGCTTAGTTTTCGACTTATGATAGTTACTATGAAAAAATCATGCGTTTTATATTATTTACAGTACTTAATTACCGTATGATCCGCACATAAAGGTACTGTCCAGTCATAATTTTATTACTTTAGTAAGATTACATAACTAGTACATTAATTTATTTATTTATTTAAATTTCAAAGCACAATTATGTAAGTAAGTGTACATATAACAGACTTAAAACCTAACGGCGTTCTCTGCTAGTTAACCACGAGGCAAAAAGAACATTAAGTAGGCGGTGAATTTAAAAAAATAAGTAAAATAAATATTGGAAGAAATCGCTCTTCTATATTCTCTTGTAATTGTTTGTATTTATAAGTTTACTATTGTAATCTTATGAAGGAAACAATAAAGAGTATCTATCTATCTACCTGTATATATGCATATCAATTATATAAAATGCCACAGGTGTCACAGTGTATACTGTGAAGCTAATGATGCTATTGTTTACAAGCTACAGTCACTACTGTCCATCATGTCAGCTGTCACCTTGTTTTGTTTTCCACTCCACTCCACGCCGTATAATAATAATCTCATTATTCTATAGTACCCATGTCACATTTGCAATGGAGTGTGTGTCTATGGGGTCATGGTAAAGCAAAATAATTGGTTAAAGTTAATATTTACATAACCAATAAAGTAAGTTTTAAAATATTTATAGTCTAGTATTATTTAATTCATTAAACTTGTTTATCTCATTTCCTACTGTATAATTGTGGTAAAATTATATAAATTTAAATTATATTTAATGTTTGTTATATTATATATGTTATAATACAATAGTCATATGTTTATTTAACTGGAATACACCTAAATAGTGTAAATGGCGGATTTGAGACCACATGGTCTTATCTACCAGTTTATATGTTGAGTGAGTATATAAATAAGTCAATATGTTTGGTTTGTTTAACTATTATTTTACTTACTAATCTTTAACCGTGACTTGATCCACGTGACCGTCATATCTTATTGACCGTGATATTTAAGATTGTTATTTTAATTTAAAAACTAAACTATTCACACGATTTTGATAAAATTTGTATTAGACTAATCTGCAAATATATTCTTCCATATAAGAAATTAATTATGCAGTTAGGTTTATAACTGACGCAGTTATGGGGTAATAAACACAAAAAAAATACAACCAAGTCGATTGTAAAAGTAACCTACGTCCTTTTTCGTTTCACATAGTACGTGTAAACCAAAAGCGACAATAAACACTTTAATGAACAAACTGACTTGCATATTTGTAATATAATTGTGAATATTTATAAATAAAATTAATATTAATTAATTAATAATTATATTAATTATATAAATTAATATAATTATTAAAATAATAATATAATATAAATGATAATAACTTATATATGATTGATAACATTCGTTATTCACTTCAGTGATCGTTGATGTCTTTTGTAAGAGATCCACGAACGCCTCGCAAGGTCACACGTCACGACCAATCCAGTACAGTTCAGTGAGAATTTACTTCAATATTTTATTAATTATATTTAATGTAAAATGTATATTTATTATTTTTTTTATCTTTTACGCTGTATGGTTTATGATTTGTAAGAGACGGGATTTAGCGTGATCATTTTGGTAAACTGGTAATTTTATGTCAATTTAAGTAAATCATCATCATCATCACCACCATCATCATCATCACCTTATCTTCTTTATTTATTTTAAAATTCATAGTTATTATATTCTTATTCTTATATTACCTTTCCAATTAGTAAAGGTTGACTATATACAAACAAACAAGCAAGCAAACTCACTTTTACATTTACATATAATATTAGTAAGGATAATACAAAAAAAATATATAATATACCCAACCAAGTCGACCTCCTCGCGGTTCTCCCTGGAAACTATCATGGTTATTTCCTGATGAATTCATCATGATGGGCTAACTGGCCTGTTTTCATTCTCATCTATCACCCTTCACTGGTGCTCCGCCAGCGTATCCCGTTAGCGCATGCGGGGTCACCATACCATTTTCACCCATAAAAAAAAATACAAAAGTAATAGGGTTTTTATGTTTTTTTTTTTCTAAGTTCCCAGTTCAGAACTGGTTACCTTTCTTTACTCGTCGTTAGAGGCGATTACGTGAACTTAAAGGTCGAGGGACGGGTAGTAGCGTCCCTCTTAAAACCAAACTATTGCCAATCCACTCACTAAACGTGGCAACTACTGGTCAAATCATCCCAATGGTAAACCGTTATAAAGAATGTTCCAATTCCTTATGGCAGTCTATGGTGGAGGAGAGGTCTGTGTTCAGCAATGGACAGATAACTGCTGAAATTATGACGATAAAAAAAAATTGGATTGAATTGCATGACTCACTATTAAGGGTCCTGAATAGTTCCCTTAGTTGGCGTGAATTTACAGGGTACAGAGGAATAACACCTGAGTCCTCAGGAATGGCAACGCATGGGGGGTATCATGAGCGAAACAGTATACTCTGTTATGTCCATGCTACTGCTTAATGCTATAGGCATCTAGCAGTCAACTTTAGGATATCCAGAAACACTCGATGGCGGTTTGTAAATAAAAATATTTATGATTCGGTATAATATATAAAAAAAATATAGATAAATAGTTATTTCTTTTCTTTTTTCCGTTTGATTTTTTATACTTTATGCAATATTTTCACCTCTTTTAAACGAAATTAAATATTATTATTATCAAATGCATCTATTTGTTATATACTAATTTTACTAAAATTGAAGTCTTTTATAGTAAATCTAATATACAATGGAGACCGTGTATCAGCAAGCGTAGTGTAGGTGGAGTAACGATGTACGTAAAGCGGTTGGTAAAAAATGGAAACGAAGAGCTGATGGTCGTGCCTATGCTAAGTAGAGTGATTTAGGCCAAGCCTATGCCCAGTAGTGGACTAATTATGATTCTAGTAAGTCTTTAATTATTTATACATAAATTAATGTTTGCCATCGACATCACCAGAGGAAGACTTTGTACAAAAGTCGTTTGCTTGGGTACCTCTGTCCCATTCGTGTTTCAACCGCGAAGTAGTTGTGTTTGCATGGCTGTGTTTCGGTTTGAAGGGCGGGATATGGCGTGAATTTACAGGGTACAGAGGAATAACACCTGAGTCCTCAGGAATGGCAACGCATGGAGGGTATCGTGGACGAAACAGTATACTCTGTTATGTCCATGGTACTGTTCATGTCTATAGGCGACGGTTACCACTTTCCATGAGTGGGCCGTCAGCTTGTTTGCCATTCTAAGTTGTATAAAAAAAAAGAAAATGTAAAATTTTAATTTATGACAACAAAAAATATTTCCTTTTCCACGCAAGTGTACGCAACTGACCACCATAAACAACGGCTCATCCCACGTCTCTTGATCTCGTTCCAAGTGACGTCACCGCCATATCCCGTAGATAAAACCGTAGCGGGCCCGCCACCAAACCAAACTGAACGCGCGCCTGCTACGGCGTAGACGTGCTGCGCGGAGTTGTGCTACGAGCGCTCACAGAAAGTTTCGCTCTGGAATTACTTCACTTCGGTATGTATTCTTTAACATTATTATAATAGTTGTTAATAACAAGAAAACTGTGATGATGTTTATGATAAGTTTAAGTATATGTTTTTGTATATTTAACGTAGAAATTAAATTGTTAAATTGTACTTTTAAGTTTTAACTTAAAGGTAAACTTTATGAAATTATTAAATAAATTGTTCTCTTGTACAATTTCCTTTAAAAGAAAAAAAAATGTATAAAACAAAATTAATAAATAATTATTCTTAATTGTAATTTAAAATACAGTAAATATTAACTATAATTAGTGATAAAGTGCGTAAACTAACTTATGTACAAAATCGATCAATTTTTAAGTTTAAACTTAAAGGAAAACTCGACGACGTTAATAAATAAATAAATACATAATGAATAAATAAATACATAATAAATAAATAAATACATAATAATAAATAAATACTATTTTATTGTTTTCTACAAAGAAAAGCATAAAATGATATGAATAATCCTTACTGTACTTTAAAGTACGGCAAAGATTATAATAAAAGATATACAAGTAAGTAAATGAACTTATCTATAAAATAACTCCCTTCCAGTCAAACTAACGTAGTCGTTTAGGAAGTAGTGACATATTCTATATATTTTTTATATATTTTACTACAAAAATCATCTATAAAAATTAGTAAAACATTAATAAATATTAAATTAATTTCGCTATTCATTGCAACTAGCCTTCTAAGTAAGTATAGGTTGACAGTAACCATTTAAATATTATATTAACTCACAGAAAAATATATTTTAATGTTTTATTTTAAAATAAATAATTATTGTAAGAATAAATGTCAATTCAAAATTTTTCTTCGTTGAAAAAATCTATTATTAATTTTAATAATTAATTAATAATTTCAATCGTGAAATTGATTAAAAAAAAGGACTAATACAGGAGTAAATAAAAGAAATATTCATAAAAATCGGTTCAGAATTACTGTATTTATTCTGTAACATACAAAAGCAAAGACGAAATAATAAATTTCTTTCATTTAGAATTTGACAAAGATTAAAATCCGTTCACAATTGAAACGGAGAAATCGACGGACATACTGTACATAAATATATATATGTATTCTCGTCTATATATACAATCGAACATAAAACCGTCTCCTTGTTTGAAGTATTATATCCTATGATATTGCAGGCGTTCATAGGCTACGGTAACCGCTTACCATCAGGTGGGCCGTATGCTTGTCTGCTACCTCAGTGGTATAAAAAAAAGTTGGTTAAAAATATCTTAAATCAAAAATAAACTTACTCTCAAGATATAAAATACTTTTTCTTTGTATAATATTTACAGTTGCAGTTTGTTCTTTATCACTACCATCTGTATCAGCCCTTATCCCTCCACTACTAAATATAGAACAAATGCCATAGTATGGCGATCTATGGAATAATCCCATAATTTATGGCAATATGGATATCTCGTCTTTTAACTATAAATATTAACTTATTTAATAGGTATGTATTTATTATATATATTTATTCATTAGTACATATATGTGTACATGGCGGACTTAATGCTGAAAGCATTCTCTCCCAATCAACCATAGGGAAGTGTCAGAATACTCGAATGCGGTACTACTAATTATTGATATATATACATACTAAAATTACATATATAAACGAATAAACATATATAAATATGAAATATACTTACATTTTTTTTATACAACTTAGAATGGCAAACAAGCTGACGGCCCACCTGATGGAAAGTGGTAACCGTCGCCTATATACATGAGCAGTACCATGGACATAACAGAGTATACTGTTTCGATACCCCCATGCGTTGTCATTCCTGAGGACACAGGTGTTATTCCTCTGTACCCAGTAAATTCACGTAATATCCCACCCTTCAAACCGAAACACAGCCATGCAAACACAACTACTTCACGGTTGAAACACGAATGGGACAGACCCAAGCAATTGACTTTTGTACAAAGTCTCCCTCTGGTATATGACATATACTATATTATACACGAAATTTAGAATAATATAAAGTATTTACTGCTCGGATAAAGTAAAAAAGTGAGCATGAACGGTTTTTTTGTATTATATTGTACGTAGAATTGTTTTTACCTTCTGTATAAAGGTAATTTAGATTACTATTTGTAACTCAAGGATGAATTCTCCTTCCTTCCTCATGGGTATCGTAAGAGGCGACTAAGGGAATTTATTGGTCGAAGGATGGGTTCTTCTTAAATCATTATCGAAAGCTTAGCTGCGGTTGCCAACCCATCTGCTAAGCGTGACGAGTACTGGCAAATCCCTCTTTATAGGGGAGGTCTATATTCAACATTGGACAGTTAATAGTTGTAATGATGATGATGATGATGATAAGTTTTTTTTATACATCTTAGAATGGTAAACAAGCTGACGGCCCACCTGATGGAAAGTGGTAACCGTCGCCTATAGACATGAGCGGTACCATGGGCATAACAGAGTATACTGTTTCGCCCATGATACCCGCCATGCGTTGCCATTCCTGAGGACTCGGGTGTTATTCCTCTGTACTCAGTAAATTCACGCCATATCTCACTCTTCAAACCGAAACACAGCCATGCAAACACAACTGCTTCACGGTTGATACACGAATGGGACAGCGGTACCCAAGCAATCGACTTGTACAAAGTCTCCCTCTGCTAAAAAACAATTATTACATATATACTTGTCACCAATCAATTAATGGAAAAATTATAATACTTTTTTTTTATAAATACCTATTTATTTATTTATTTTAGGAAACATACAGCCTGATTAAATCAATAGATATTCAATGTATATTTATATTTATATATGTTATATTTATACGAATACTATAAGGAGGAAAAATTTTATTGTTTATTTACAAAATGCAAACTCAAAAACTACTCAATCGATTTAATATTTTTTTCACATATAGAAAGCTACATTATCAGCTAATATTATAGGCTATATATCATTTTTCAAAAATTCTATCTATCCACGCTGCCGGGTTGGATTGCTAGTGGATAGATACAAAAAAAAAAACTTAACATCAAAACAAACAAACATACTCATAAATATATTTGTATTGTGTGAGGATTGGATCCGCAACCTTTACTTAACTTTATAAATTAGTAAGGATTCATAAGGCTTAAGTAATAAAGTGTGTGGATTAAGCTTATCTATTTAGTGAAATATTTCGAGGGGCCATTCTATAAATATACTGCGGCATATGGGCATTGTTCTTACATATATATGTTCCTTACTTTATTTTATTGATGTAATATATTTCAAAGTATTTTTTTATGCAACTTAGAATGGCTATCAAGTTGACGACCCACCTGTTAGAAAGTAGTAACCGTGGCCTATAGACATGAGAAGTACTATGGACATAACAGAGTATACTGTTTCGCCCATGATACCCCCCATGCATTGCCATTCCTAAGGAGTTAGGTTATTCCTCTGTACCCAGTAAATTCATGCCATATCCCACCCTTCAAACCGAAACACAGCCATGCAAATACAACTACTTCACGATTGAAACTCAAGCAAACGACTTTTGTACAAAGTCTCCCTCTGGTAAAATTGACTAAAATAGGTGTTATCTTGCAGAAGTTCATATCACTGTTTACTTGATTAGAATTATATATATATATATATATATATATATATATATATATATATATATATATATATATATTATTCATATAGAACCATATGTATATATATCTGAAAACTATCCAAAATTGGAAAATATTAAAAATCAAACTGCATGCCTTTCTGTTGGAAAACTGTATTTATAAAATAAATGAATTTTAGAGATATATTAATTGTGAGTTGTATGTAGTTGCTTGTGTTTTTTTTGACTGAAATTGTTATTATTATTAATTCATTGCTTGTATCTGACATTGTTTATATGTAAAACTCCTATCATATTCGACACAATGTAATATTGTTATGAATAAATTGAATTGAATTGAATATATATATGACCATGAATGACCATTGCTATTTCTATTACAAGTATCATAACCTTATTAGCCATCAATCTCCGACTACCATTTTATTTGTGCACGTTTTACAACACGTGTTTTACTTCTAAATGAAATATCTTCAGGCAAATTATTAGATTGCTGCTCGGAGCCTAATGTAATACGAGTATAATTAAAGATTGTCCCAAAAAAAAAACTAATTTCGGTAATAGCAAAAGCAGTCATTTGAATATAATAACTAAACTACTATATCGATTTCGATAAAATTTCTATTGCACCAATCTGTAAGTATATCTTTTCAGATTAAAAAAGAATTTTCCAAATTCAAATCGGTTTAGAACTGACGGAGTTATGAGGTAACAAATATAAAAAAAATACAACCGAATTGAGAACTTTCTTCTTTTTAAAGTCGGTAGATAAATGTGAAAGTAAATTTGTTATTACATATTGGCATCTTAACGGCTTATAGTTAAAAACCTGCAACGCACAAGCGACTCCTCTCGTATTGCAGGTAATCATGAGCGACAGTAGCCGCTTACCATCAGGTGGACCGTCTACTCATTTGTTCCTCTAACAATAAAAAAAAAATATTGAAATCGCATCTAATTTAGTATTATAATATATATGTGATACTGAAACAAACATATAGATAGACAGACAAACAATAATTTATAATAATTATTGCTTTGGAATCTACTGTTCTTGTTAAAACGTATATTATATAAATTTTTCCTTAATATCTCTTATGTTAACGTCTGATATAATGATCACTACATGTAGGTATGTACATACATTGTCAAGTTACAACTTTATTACATTAATAAGATTCCTATTGTTGTAAACAGCTTAAAATAGCAAATTTTAATAATAATAGTTTGTCATCTCCTCTCCTTAAGAGGGGAGATGTATTATTATGAATTTTTGTTGAAATTTAAAACAATAATAATATTGTTTTTAAAAATACTAAATTATAAATTCTATTAAAATATTAATATTAACGTCGGTCAGAATTCCTGTTTT